GTGCTGATACACACCTTCAATCTGGAATGTTCTGAGTTGACATGCATAGAAAAGTATGTTTGATCTGGTTCCAGAATGTCTGACATAAGTTCAGGAAATAATGAACAGGAGCTTCGGTAGAATCAAGGAATGAAAATAGGTGTAGTACGATGGGCTGACAGTTGAAAAAATCGAAATCTAGATAAGTCTTTTTTTCTTTAAATAAGCGCATTTGTTCTTGAATTGAGGAGTTAAAAGAGATATTTTGCCAATGGAACAAAACACAATTGCATTGTCTTATTTCAAGTGCATATTATCTAATTATATTATTTTAAGAGTAAAAATACTAATTCCATTGGCAGATCATCTCATTTACATACCCAAATTAAGAGCAAATACACTTAATTAAAGAAATGTTTATTGTTATTAGATCATTTTTTCAGTGTAGACTGAAGATGCCAGAGCTGCTTCACTACAAAAAATGTTTTAAATCTAAATAATTCTTTTTTTTTAATTAAAATAAGTGAATTTAAGCATATAGGCTAGAAACTTGCCAATGGAACAGGACAATTTACATTTAAATAAAAAAAGAGGGTTAGTACACTTAATTTAAGAAATTTTTCCTATTTCTGTTTTTGGTAGTTTGGGAAATGAAAGCTGTCGAATAAAAATAAATCTACTCTTCTTGACTATAAATTCTTCCTTTGTTTCTTCTTATTGGTAAGTTTATCTCTGTTCTTTATTTTTACAGTGAGAGAAGACATCTTTAACTTCCAACATGGGAGCAAGTGAAAGCACGACATTTGGACCTTGCTATTACAAAATGAGCACAGAGGTGGACAAGTACCTCTACAAGTACATTTTACCCATCATCTGCATCCTGGGCTTAGTGGGGAATTGTCTAGTAACCTTCACCCTGGCTGTTGGAAAGAAAAAGATGAGTAGAAGTGATTTCCTCCTGCTCAATCTCGCCATCACCAACCTGCTGTTTGTTGTGGTTCTGCTTATCCTATCCTTCCACGAGCAAGTCGAATGGCTGAAGGGGGGAGTGGCCTGCAAGCTGTTGAAGGGCTCCTACAGCATCAACCAATACTGTGGAATGCTGCTGCTCGCCTGGATCAGCCTTGAACACGGCATGGTAGTCGTAAACAATAATCTAAAGACGCCATCAAAATCGTTAAAATTTAGCTTTACCGGCTGCGCCTTCATCTGGGTCTTTTCTATACTGGTTTCTATCCCCGCCTTCCTCTTCTATACCTCCTATGACTCAAAGCCTAAAATCATCTGGAAAAACAAAACAAAAGACAAAGAGACCTCAAGCCCTTCTGATTTCATCTGTGGGTTAAATTTTGAGGGGAGTAACTCGCCCAATTTGACACGGTTGGCCATTCCCAGCGTCCAAATGGCTGTTGGCTTTTTCCTGCCTTTGTTAGTCATTATTTCAAGCTACACCTTAATCATCCACCATCTGCAGAAAGAAAAGCTTTCCCAAACTGTGAAAAATGGGCTAAAAAATAAAGCAACTAAGAGGGCGATTTATGTCATGGTCTTGTTTGTGGTCTGCCACATGCCCTACAATCTCATTCTGCTGTATGACACCATCACCATGTCCGACGAGAGAGAGTGTAAAGCAGCAGACGGTTTGCAGACGGCCTTGTCCGTTGCTCAGGCCGTGACTTGCCTGCAGTGCTGCCTGAACCCAGTGGTGTACAATTTTATGGGGGAAAACTTCAGGAAAAAGTTCCAGAAATGTTGCTCAGCCAAAGGGAAAAGAAAATATGACTCAGCAAAAAGGTCAAGTCGGTTTCCAGGTACAGAACAGTTTTCAATGAAAACAATTAAAGAGTCAAAGGAATTCTTAGACACCTAATATCTCTGATCAAAGCCTTTGTTAGGGTTCGTA